CAGAACTATCCCTTTCCTTAGATCAAGAATTGCAAGATAAAATTCTACATGAAGTTTTCGACGAAATAGACAAGGATTATATAACAGATGAAATTCATGATTTTCTCACTGTCTTTTTTAATGCTGATCACGGTTAACAAGGATGGCACGAATCAGTTCGGAGAATAGTCATTAATGAAAAAGACTTGGAATTACTGCAAGCTACAAAAGAACTGCTTAAGGGAACATTGGGACGATTTTAAATAAGAAGTTTTAGAGTATCAAATTTTACAAACTACTAATACACTATTACGTATAGTATAAAGGCCTTCTTTTTAGATGCACTAAACCCATTGAGAGATTTTACGATATTAGAAAGACCTCATCTCAACCAATTTATACATCTGTTAATTGATGATGCATTGTGGATTTGCAAGTGTTAATTATAAATAGTAAGTTGAAACTGTCTTTATTTCTCTCCTTTTGATTTTCATAGAATTAATTACATAATTTCATTAGTGGTAAGATTTCTTTGCAAGAAAAAGCAAAAGTCATAGCAGATGGTGTTGGATACCTTAATGATGTCTCAAACTACCAAATCGTTTGCATGGAAGGGGCAAGACCAGGGGCGAGGAATGAAAAAAATGTTAACGAAGAGAAGAACATCAAAAGCATGATACAACTGTTTAGCTATATAATTGTAACAGAGGCTTCAGAACGAAGACAAGTATACACAGGCCTTCGAGTATATGGTGCAACTACTTGTAAAACCGAACTCTCCCTTACAATGCTTGATTTTCGTTGTATGCAATACGTGAAATTCATAGTGATATCATATATAGTCTAACTAATTCAATTTTATGTGATCAGGAACATATAGTTTGTTCGAAGTGGACCGTTTTAGTCTCCCAAAAGATTGGGTAGATATGCCTAATTTCGTTTTTATGTATGAAGCTCTAATAAAGTGGGCAGTAAGTATATGCATGAATTTATCATCTGTATTTTAAAATACCACTATTTGGTAATGATAAGATAATTATTGTAAAGTTGTGTGTCCGTTATACGAGAGAAGAATTGATTGCTCAGCGTAAAAAAAGAAGGATGGGAAGATACTCCGAAGCAAGAATTGCCAAAAAATTCACGGGTCTAACATGACTGATTTATACAATGTCTATATATGATTTACTTTATACCAATAGATAATTCATACTGAAAATGTATTGAGATTGATCCGAACCAATTCACATTTCGGCGGGAGATCACCATATAACATGACGATACTTTATTTTTCCAATGCATCGTTCGTTGATTGTATTTGCAATACTATTCCAAAAATCTACCCTGCTACTGCCGGAAATGTTATAACACTCCGCATTTCGATTTCTTCTTTCGTCAATTAGTAAGGACAGTTGATCATCGGTCCACATCACAAAAATTTAAACGATCCTAATTTCAACGGATGTTCAACTGAGATATGATATTTCCATACGTTTTTTATAAGAAAAAAATTCATCGAACTTTCATCGTGCCTTCACCTCGGATTTGTTAATCTCGGATTTGTCTATCTCAGACCGGACAATCTCAAATGGCGGGTGTTGTACAGTACATCCCCAAATCGCTGGGAAATTAAATCATCTGCTTGAAAACACCGAAATAGATTATGCATTTTCCACAGTTCATGAGCGATTAAACATAAATATCGCCACAAATAAATTCTTTAGAATCAACTCTTAACTACGATTCTTGCTACAACCCAACATGCATCTCTCCCATTCTCAACGTATACATCACTCGCAAAATATGACGAATATACACAACTCATCAAATAATCCATCTGCACTTAAAATGAATCTGGTTTTAATTATATATATCGTAATAGGTCTAATAATCCTATATACAATATAATCGTCTAAAACGCTATAATACGTTAAATCATTAAATATGGTTTATCCAGAAAATGTCAATTTCCAGTAAACCCCATCTGATTGGAAGAAACGGATCTGGAATCAATTGGTGGATTATAGAAATAATCATAAATTGGCTGATTACCATAAGCGATATATTGTTGCTAGAAAGATGGAATCTACAGAAGGATTCAGTTATCGTGTGGCTGTTAAAGTGAACATTGCTATATGTTTTAGCTGTGATCAGTTTGTTTATGTCGATAAAAGAGTAGGATATGAATTATATCACAATTATAAGATGGAGGAACATTGACATACAAATTGTACCAAGTTTCAAAAAGTATATGGAGCTTAAACAAAAACAATCATTACTTTAACTTGTTGCCAGATTGGGATAGGACTTGAATCTTGTATTTACTTCCTGTCTCTAGAAAGCTATATATTGCATGTAAAATATATATATATTTTTTAAATATATACTTATATATACTGTATATACATTCCCTGGTCAAAAGTTTAGGACCACCTAATAAAATTTAAATAATTGTAAATAATTTATTATTATTATAATAATATAAATAACAATTTTTTATTAAAATTAAAATATAAGTAATTATATATTGAATTAATATTAAAAAAAATTTTTTTTAATTATTTAATATTTTTTAAAAAAATTTTTCATAAATTTTCTTAATATTTAAACTATTATTAAATAAATAAATAAATAACTAATTTAATTTAATTTCAAGCTAAAAATTTTTTTATTTATTATATTTAATTAATTATATTTACTGTATATTTAAATTTATATATTACATTATTATATAAAAAAATTTATTAAAAATTTAATAAAATTATTATTAAAAAATTAAATAAAAAAAAATTAAATTAATCAATAATTTATTTTAATTTATTTTAAGAAAAATATTCAATGACATTTATTAATATTTAATAGAGTAGCTATGGATTTTAATTATAGCCCTTATTCAATTTTCCATACTAGTTATTAATTTTTGAAACATATTACTTAATATTTGTAACCAATATTCTTGTAAAAAAGTTTCCAATTTATCCAAATTTTTTGAATAAATATTTTTTGCTCTTATATGCCATTCAAGCTTATTCCATAAATGTTCGATGAGATTTAAGTTTAAACTTTATCCTGGCTATAGTAAGAGAGATATTGCTACTTTATTCATTATATGCTAATATAAATTTTAATATTATCTTGCTAAAAAAAATACTTACCATTGTTTTCTTTAAATTTTCTTAAAAAAGATATTAGATGATAGCCAACAATCTTTTCTATATATCTTTGATTATTAACACAACTATTAATTCTAACTAAAGGATTCAAATCAAATTAAGAAAAACATCCCTATAATATAATTCCCCACCACCATATTTTACCATAGAAATAAGACAACTAGAATCATATTTTTCTTTAGAAAGCCTCCATACATAAATTTTTCCATTATTTTTAAATAATGTAAATCTTGATTTGTTGCTCCACATTATTTTTTTTCAATCATCTATTTTTCAAAAATGTTTTTTACATGTTCAATTTAATTAATTTTTTTAATTAGCCTCACTAACAAAAGACTTTCTAAGGCCTGTTTGACTATAATACTCCATTTTATATATAGTATATCTAATAGTTCTTGGCTTACTTTATTTCCAAATGATTCCAAGAAAATTTTGTGTATTTTTTCTATAGGTTTGTGGTAGTTTTTTTTTATTATTGTTTTGAAATAGTATTGATTATGTTAAGTTATTTTTTTTAAATGTCTATTTCTTGAGACAATAGAAATAGTATTGAATTTGTGAAATTTCATTATAATGTTATAAATTGTAATCTTATCATATCCAGTTTTTTTTGAAATTGTTCTTTCAGAATCACCAGCTTCATAAAAACTGATAATTCTTCTATGCTTAAAATCTGTCAACTCTTTTTTTTTATCATTAAAAAAAAAGAGCAATAAAGTAACTGGGCAAAAAATAATATATATATATATAGGGCTATTAATGTTGGTGATATGAAACATGTCTTTTTTTTTTTTGGCAAGTCATATGATTATATAAAGCAAAATTTTTATAAATCACTAGGATGGTCTTAAACTTTTGGTCAGGAAGTATATATTATAATGGTTTTTGACAAGTTTGTTACTAAAGAGAGCTAAAATTTGCTTAATAATAATAAATGTATTTATTTGATAAGGCAGAATTGATTATATTAAGATTGTTATTTTTATTATTAATGAGATAGTTCTTTTTATATAATTAGTTCCAGTAATTATATAATAATTAACAATAAAAAAATAAAATAAACAAAAAAAGAAATTGAAAATAATAAATCACAGCAAAACCATTACATAATCTATTATTATTTCTGTTGTAATATAATATAATTCATTTAAAACCTGTGGATCCATAGCACAGTGGGTATGCTTCCAGGTTGCCAAACACATGTCCCTAGTTCAATACCCATAGGGGGCAAATGTACAAAAATCATTTTTCATTTGTGGGTTTATCGGTTTTCCTACAGATGTCGTACCCAAACATCTGAATCTAGTCAAATTTAGTTAGGCTGCATGAAAATGGGACCTCTGGTCTTTCTGATGATCATGGGCTGAAAACAGGTCGAAGCAGGAAAGGTTGCATAAGGAAAGGTTTCTGGTCTAACTCCAGTAAAAGCCCACACCCTCTCCTGGCACAACAGACTCCATAGCACAAACCTTCTTATTCAGGTTGGCTGGCTTCCTAAATAAGTCGTATCCAATCAGCCAGTACCCAAGACTAGATCAGCAGACTCTGAAATTTGATTGGACCCACTACCCTGCTTGATGTTGATGCAATCTGGATTGGTGGCCCAATTAGTGTAGTGGAAATGGGTCATAAAAATCAAAATGGAGACTGTCGGGAAGGTTTTTCAACTGTTGGATAGGATTTTCCTTACCCTATATTTACAAGTAGGAAGATATAGTACAAGCCTGAATATAGATCCACCCATGTGATGTAAGTTGGTATTTGGGTAAAATTCGCGATAAGCTACAATTAATTTACTATGTAAAGATTATTAATGTAATGACAGTAAACTTTGGTTTAAATAAAGTCTCGTATTTAATGCCTGTTAGCGATAAAAAAAAAATAATAATAATATAATTCATTTATTGACAAGCAAAAACAGAACATGTGACTTAACCCAGCCTTTTCTTTAATTATACTATAATTCTCTATTACATTATTTCTCTTTTACATGTGTGTTGTTCATTATTGTGATATGTTTTATTTAGATTTGAACTCATAATACTACTTGAGAGATTGTTATCAATATAGATGATATCACATTACTTTTGTTACAATATATTGTATATACAGTGCCAGTCATAAGTAACCATATACCTTTTAAAAATTCAAATCTAATCCAATTGTTTTAAAAATGTTAGGACAAATAGTTTATCACAATTCCTGATCCTC